TAGTCAAGAGATTTAATAAAATAATAACTATTGGGACTATTTGTGTATTTTACCCTGATTTTTTGAACTTACACAATATTTTGTATTTTATAAACTTAATCATTAAAATGATATATCATATATTTATATATTATTAAAATATCATGTTATATTTTAAATTAATATCACATATTTTAATGGAATCCATCTCATGGAATTAATATCTTTTTCTCCATTGTTACAATTATAATAATGGTGCTCGTTTTTAAATGCAAATGAACTAAAATCCACTGTGTTATAGTACAGGGACTTAAATGGTATTTTTACCTCAAACATTTGGCTGAAAAACTATAGTAACGCCGAGATATCATCCCAAAATCCCTCATGTGAGTTACAGAATGGGCAGAAAAAAAGGGCCAAAAATCTCGATTTACGATGTCCTATTAAAAGGATAACGTACACTAGAGCTCATTAAACTATGATGAAATGATTATTTAGTCACTGCATTTTTAAAAACTATAAAATAATCATTTACAAATATATCATAAAATGGTCATTAAATTTAGAGAACGGTTATAAAACGATCATTAGATTTTATCAAGCTTTTATAATTATTATAACGTTGCAATAATCATTTTGTAACTTTTCAAAATTTAGTAACAAAAACGATGATCTGAGCAAAGTTTAATTACCTCTAATGCATCTATTTTTAGGCAAAAAAAGACTTGTACTTTTAAAAAAAATTAATAGGAGTCTCTTATTATTTTTTTCTCTCAATGTGACCCTCTAACTCAGAAAATAAATTTATTATGGCCCTTTGACCAACGTTTTTCGTCATTAATTGTTACAGTGCTGACGTGAAAGTTCACGGTGTTGATATGACGGTCCATGGTGTTGATGTAGCAATCTAGGGTGGTAGATTAACGTGGCAGATAGACTAAATTAGTAAGTCAAACATGATAGATAGATTGATACGACATCATCATGAACTGGCAATCCAATACTGTAATGATTAACGACGAAAAACGTTGATAAAAGGGCCACAGTAAGTTTGTTTTCTGAGTTAGAGTGTCACATTGAGGGGAAAATAATACGAGGGTCACAGTGATTTTTTTTCAAAAGTACAAGGACTCGAATTCCCTTTTAAAAGTATTATTCACTTGAAAAATACTTTCTTGGATTTGACAAAGGAAACAAAGGTTTTGAACACTATTTAATCATTAATGCATCTTAGCCTATTTTCCCATCACGGGACAGCACAAAGCATCAACGTTGAGCATATGTAAAACGAAACAGAACAAGCTTCAAACATGTTTTCATGGTGAAACAAATGTTGTAGCAGACAGTTTCAAGTTGTCTGAAAATCAGAAAGGTAAGGGAATAAAAAAAAATGATCCGTAAGGTGTTTTTCGTTGTTGGTTTCTTGATTTCTTGGCATTGTTTCGCGTCGATTTCGGTTCGGGTTAAGGCACAAGCCGTCTTCGCTTGTGATGCCACGAAGGATCCGAAGGTGGCGCATTACGACTTTTGTAATGTGTCGTTGGGGAGGGACGCGAGGGTGGCCGACTTGGTACGGAGGCTTACGTTGCAGGAGAAAATCAAGTTCATGGTCAATAGTGCAGGTAACGTCACTCGGCTCGGGATACCACGGTACGAGTGGTGGTCCGAGGCGCTTCATGGTGTCTCCAACGTCGGTCCCGGCACTAGGTTTAGCAGCTTAGTACCGGGGGCAACCAGCTTTCCTCAGGTCATATTGACCACGGCTTCGTTCAATGTTTCGTTGTTTGAAACCATCGGCAAGGTGGTCTCAACGGAAGCTAGAGCAATGTACAACGTTGGATTGGCGGGACTAACATTTTGGTCACCAAACATCAACATATTCCGTGACCCAAGATGGGGCAGGGGACAAGAGACACCAGGGGAGGATCCATTGTTGAGCAGCAAATACGGATCTTATTATGTCAGAGGTTTACAACGAGCTGGCGATCATGCCGACCCTTCTCGACTCAAGGTCGCCGCGTGCTGTAAACACTACACCGCCTACGATTTGGATAACTGGAAAGGGGTCGATCGCTACTATTTCAATGCTGTGGTAATATCATGAACCTAATTTGGTCTCATCGGTCTGGGACCTATGTTAGTATGTTCACCACTAATGACTTGTGACTGATTCGTGGATGGTTAGGTAACGCGACAAGATATGGATGATACGTTTCAACCGCCGTTCAAGAGCTGTGTCGTCGACGGGAATGTGGCGAGTGTTATGTGTTCTTACAATCAGGTTAACGGTAAGCCAACTTGTGCAGACCCTGATCTTCTTGCTGGTGTTATTCGAGGCCAATGGAAATTAAATGGGTACATTTTCGTTTATCTCTAGCGATCTTTTTAGTTCGAAGATTTTCGGCCATCGTGTCGTCTTATGAGGCTCCGTCTTGCATTGGTGTAGGTATATAGTTTCTGATTGCGACTCGGTAGAGGTGTTCTTCGAAGATCAGCACTATACCAAGACACCGGAAGCAGCTGCTGCCAAAGCAATTTCAGCAGGTCAGCGTGCCTAAAAGAACTGAAACATTAATGCTCGCAAATTGTTCGGAATTGGCCGGCGATTGCTTAATATGTCTGATGGTTTTCAGGGTTGGATCTCAACTGTGGATCATTCCTTGGCAACCACACCGCAGCGGCGGTGAAAACAGGGCTTTTGAAAGAATCTGCCATCGACAATGCCATCGCTAATAACTTTGCTACTCTAATGCGACTGGGCTTCTTCGACGGCGATCCTCGGAAGCAACCTTATGGAAAGCTCGGCCCGAAAGACGTATGTACTCCGGAGCATCAAGAGTTGGCTCGTGAAGCTGCGAGACAAGGGATTGTGTTGCTCAAGAACCGTGCAGGATCGTTGCCTCTGTCTCCCACTGCTATCAAAACCTTGGCAGTAATTGGACCCAATGCCAATGTCACAAAAACCATGATCGGAAACTACGAGGGTAATCCGACATAGTACTCGAGATTTATCTTATCCGAACTCTTCATTTTCTTTACAATTTCTCGTTTGACATAAATATATATTCATATCGGACACTGTCTGAATTCGAGTAACATTGCAGGTGTTCCATGCAAATATACAACACCATTGCAGGGCCTAACAGCTTCAGTAGCAACAAAATATGTGTCGGGCTGTTCCAATGTGGCTTGCGGCACTGCCCAAGTAAATGCTGCCAAGAAAATAGCCGCCATGGCCGATGCCACCGTGCTTGTGATGGGCATTGATCAATCTCTCGAAAGAGAAGGCTTCGACAGAGTCGACCTTCTTTTACCGGGGCAGCAACCACTTCTTATAAATGAAGTTGCAAAGGTCGCCAAGGGACCTGTCGTCCTTGTCATAATGTCGGGCGGAGGCTTCGATGTGTCGTTCGCCAAAAACAACGACAAGATTACAAGCATTCTTTGGGTTGGTTACCCTGGTGAAGCTGGTGGAGCTGCCATTGCTGATGTGATTTTTGGGTATTATAATCCAAGTAAGTCTTTCTCCATTTAGAGGTGTGCACGAATCGGGTTCGGGTCAAACACATGTTTAGCATAAACATCATTTATATTTGCCTAAGATAATCCGACTCGAAAATTAAACCGAATCATTGTTTATAGGTGGAAGGCTGCCAATGACATGGTATCCACAATCATATCTTCAAAACGTCCCAATGACAAACATGAACATGAGACCTGACCCTTCCAAAGGGTACCCTGGAAGAACCTATAGATTCTACACAGGGAAAACTGTTTTTACATTTGGAGATGGGCTAAGCTACTCCAAATTCAGCCATAAACTAGTTAAAGCACCTCAACTGTTGCTGTTCCCAATGGACGAAGACCACATATGTCGTCGCTCGTCGGACTGCAACTCCATCGAGGTCGCCGAACGACATTGTGAAAACTTGGGATTCGATGTACATTTGAGGGTTCGGAACACAGGGAGACACGACGGAAGCCACTCGGTGTTGTTGTTCGCGACTACCCCGGCAGTGCACAACTCTCCTCGGAAACATCTGGTGGGGTTCGAGAAAGTTTCGTTGAAAGGGAGATCGGCCACGTCGGTGAGATTTAAAGTGGATGTTTGCAAGGATTTGAGTGTTGTTGATGAGCTTGGGGGCAGAAAGGTTGCGTTGGGACAACATGTGCTGCATGTCGGGAACTTGAAACACACATTAAGCTTGAAGATATGAAAATTCCTCACTTCTTTTATGTTTTTTTACTCTTTTATTTCCATTTTTCTTCTCTAAAATAAGCTGAATTATGTAATATGTATATATGGTATTCTATTTATATCAATCTCATTATATTCGAATCAAATTTAAATCATTCTGAGGTGACGGAGGCATCGTACCATTCGGATTTTTTTTCCATGTTTTTTCAAGAGATCTGAAGAAAACTGCAATCAATAGGATTTTTCTAATCATTCTTTCCCGAAAGGAATCACGTGAAATTATTTTTTCTTTCCGCATGAATTAGGAGATTGGATCTAGTCGTAAGAAGAAAACTTGATTGATAGATAATTCACTTCTTGGTCTTCGACCCCTCAATCACTACAAATGCCCCTGCAATGAGAACTCGAGTTGTGATCATTTTTACATAATCAATAAGGTAAAATATGTGTTTAATATTTAAATTATCAGTTTTGATCTATTTTAATGTATAAATTTTTAATTTTTTAAAATTCATACATATAGTTTATTTTTTGTTTCATTTTAGTACCCGTTCAAAATTTAACGTTAAGTTTTGAAAAATTGAATTTAGGTACTAAAACGGATAAAACTGATAGTTTAGATACTAAACACGTCAAATTTTTAACGAAATGGTACTAAAATGAAATAAAAACTAAATACCATATATGATTTTTAAAAAATTAAAAATTTAGATATTAAAATAGATAAAAATTGATAGTGTATATACTAAATACGTGGTTTACCCTAATCAATAATATTGAAGTGGATAAGGCAACTATGAAATGGGATAAAGCGATTGCCTTGAAAAATCGAAAGAGTGGCCAATCCACACAACAGCAGTAGCCTCATCTAATCCAAAACAAAATCCAATGCCTCTCGTTCTCCGGCCGCCGACTTCAACCTTCTCTTTCCTCTCTCCCGCCGCTAAACCCACCACCACCCACCGTTTCTTTACCATTCCCCGTGCCTCCACCCAACTCGTCCCCGACCCTCCGTCCGTCATCAAAACAGCTCCGGTCATCGTAATCGGCGCCGGTCTCTCGGGTCTCGCCGCCGCCACCCGTCTCAAATCGGATAACATCCCTTTCCTCCTCTTGGAAGCCTCCGATGGCGTTGGTGGTCGCGTTCGAACCGATGTCGTCGATGGCTTTCTCTTAGACCGTGGCTTCCAAATCTTCATCACTGCCTACCCAGAAGCTCGAAAGGTATTAAATTACAGTGGTTTGAATCTCCAGAAGTTTTACTCTGGTGCCAGAGTTTACTACGGCGGTGAATTCCACACCGTCGCCGACCCTTTGCGCCATTTCTCGGACTCCGTTTTGTCACTGGGGAACCCCATCGGGTCTGTTTTTGATAAGCTGCTTATCGCTTTGACGAGGGCTCGGGTTTTGAGTAAATCCGACGAGGAAATTTTGAAAGCCGATGAAGTTCCGACGATTCAATTGTTGAAGAGTATTGGGTTCTCCGATTCGATGATCGGAAGGTTTTTTAGACCCTTTTTTGGTGGGATCTTTTTCGACCCGGAGCTCGAAACTACTTCGAGACTCTTCGATTTCGTATTCAAAGTTCTCGCTCTCGGCGACAATACCCTTCCGGCGAACGGAATCGGCGAGATTTCAAACCAATTGGCGGCGAAACTGCCGTCCGATTCGATTATATTGAACACCAAAGTGGTCTCCGTTGATTTTACCGACTCGAATTCGCCGTCAGTGACATTAGAGAGCGGCGAAATCGTCAAGAGCGAGCTAGGGGTGATAATGGCGGTTGAAGAACCGGCACTTGATAAGATTTTGGCGGGAAGGACGACGTCGGTTCAGAATAAAAAACTGGCCCGAAGTACGGTTTGCTTGTATTTTTCATTGGATCGGGATCAAATTCCGGTTCGAGACCCGGTCCTGTTTCTCAACGGTTCGAGTGAAGGGATCATCAATAACATGTTTTTCGTTACGAATGTGGCTCCATCCTATGGCCCTTCGAACAAAGCGTTGGCATCGGTATCGTTGATCGGGTCGTACGAGAACAAATCGAATGATGATCTAAGAACCAAGGTTATCAAGGAGCTTTCGGGCTGGTTCGGAGCTTCAAAAGTCGAGTTATGGCAGCATTTGAGAACATATCGAATCGGTTTCGCCCAACCGAACCAATCCCCGCCGACGGACTTGATGAAGAATCCTAATATCGGGCCGAGCTTGTATTTGTGTGGTGATTATGTGACTTCAGCTACCTTCGACGGAGCCCTGGTTTCCGGTCGAAGAGCGGCTGAAGCTTTGTTGAAAGACCGAGCGTTGGCTCCGGTTTAAAACCCATTGTAGATTCCGGTTTAGTTGTAAAAGCTTGTTTTTTTAGAAATTGAATTCTTTTTTCACGAACATTAGAGTATTCGTTACATATTGTGGATTTTCTTTCATTAATTATTAGTTAGATCGATGAGACGTTCAATCTCTTAAATCAAATTAAAAATTTAAATTTTAACGCTATAAATAAAAATAAAACCATATTAGAAAGATCTTTTTATAATAGATTTATGTAAATAAAAACATATTAGAAATATCATTGTTAAGTCCTTGGATGATCCCTAAATTTTAAAACATATTCAGTTTGGTATAGAAACATGATTTTACAATTCAAGTTTGGTTTGAACTCGGATTTTATTGAAGTTTGTTCTATGACTCTATAATGATAACAATTTCACATTGGAACCTTCAATTTCATATTTTTGGTTTATTTTTATATTTTAAAAAGTTTATGTTTCGGTCCCTAAATTGAGTATGTTCGATTAGGCCCCTAAATGATGTTTGATTTTATTGTAACTTTGCGTGTCACTCAATTACGATTATGTTTAACTTGTGGTAACCTTAATTGAGTGAATTGACTACCAATTCGTTATGTGATGTGAAATGACTAAATTACCCTTAGGCATTTAAATGTAATGTTTGCATGTTTAATTGAAAATTCGACTGTATATTAATTAAATTGAATGTCGTATGTTGATGAATGTTAATAAATTTTAAATTGTTTGCTTCCGCAAAATGTGCGTAATGTGAATCCTGATACGTCCACCACGATTGGAACCTAATATACGCTCAGGTATCCAGGTCTAACTTTCGAACCGAGTATGGGGTGTTACGTTTGTTGGTATCAAAGCCAGGTTGTGAAAAAGTTGATAATGTTGTGTGTTTGTGTGTCGGGGTTAAATTAGGGACCCATATTGCCTCGTAAAAGTTTTGATTTTTCAGGAACTTACCTTTGATCATCCGGTGTCTCCCTCACTCCAGGTTTGGTTATATACATACTTCGATTATTAAATTTGATATTTGTACCTTGAATTCATTTTCATAAATATTTGGATGAGTTAATTGATTCAATTCCCTTTGAATTTATTCCTTTTTAATTTGTTGAGTTATTGGATTCTTCTCACTCAAGATTATGATTATGTATATAATTTGAGTTTTACATTTGATATTCCACACATTGAATTTACCTGTATTTTATTGGGCTTACTGTATGAGTAATGTATCCCTTATTGTTTCTATTGAGATTCAAATCTTTGCATTTTGGATTTTGATTGGGTGTGCAAATTATGGTGTTATATGATTTGTGGTATATGTATATTATGTGGATTGATTGGTTTGGGATCAACATATTTACATGGTATAGAAGTGTTATTTGTTTGTATTGTCAGTCTGGTTGAATTTGGTGACGTCACTATGGTCGTGTCAATGTCTTGGTGTTAGTTCTTAATTGATAAGGTGAGTAAGACGTGTTCTTAGGCGTTCTTAAGTGTGGTGTTTTTGATTAGTTGTTTGAGTCATTGTTCTGAGGTATGAAATTGTTTCTGTGTGAATAGAAGTATGATTATTTGATGCACCCAAAATTTATATTATTTTGCGTAAATGCATTAGTTCTTGGTCGATTTTAGTTTCGTGGTTATCGATGGATTACTTGAATTCTTTTTGTATGTTGTTTTGATAGTGGGAAGCGATTGAGTTAATAGGTTATAAAGCGTGCTTAGCTTGATTGTTTAGTTTGGTTGATAATGAATAGCTTGTGCAAAATATTCTGATTTGAGAGATTTCAGTATGTGTTCACAAAAAAGTTTTCTTGTTTTCGTTGGCTCAAGAAGTTGAATTTCATATTGGAAAAATGATAAGGCCTCAGTATATGTTGTTATTCGTAGTATGATGTCGAGTGAGTTAGAAGGAAATAAGGTTTAGATTGAAAATTTATTAGATCATAGTTCTATTTGGTCAAGTATCGCTTGAAGCTTGTATTCATGGAAAGAGACATGGTCAGCATTTTATTGTAGTTGTGAGGTGCTCTTGTGTTGACATAAAGGAAGAGGATTTTGATGGGATGTGTGTTTCGTTCGGAATCCGCTTGGTTTGTGGTAAAGTTTGTTGATGATTATTGTAATCACCATTTTTTTTATCCCAAATAATAATAATAATAATAAAAGAAAGAGAAAAAAAGATAAAATCCCTTAATATCCGGGGCATTGAATGCCCCGTTGCAGCTGCACCAAATCTCTACTCCACAGTAGACCCAAGCCATCTCACTGCCACCATTATTGTTGCCACCATCTCCCTGCATCATCTCCATCCCCTACGAATCATAGATGTAATGTTTATTTTTTTATTGTAACCAGGGTTCTATAAAACCCAGAACAGAAACATTAGCATAGGGCTATCGGGAAAAAGACACACTGGTAGCAGAGGGCTCTCCGGATAAAAAAAAAGTAGAGACATTTGTAAAGGGCTTTTTCATTCAGAAGGAAAAAATTATGTAACTGAGGGTGCGTTTGGTTCACGGAATGTAAGATTACCAGTGAGAATAAAATATTACCAGGGAATAAGATTACTAGGAATGTTGTATTTTATATTTGGTTGGTTTAGCAGGAATGTAAGATTATCGTGTTTGGTTAAAGGAATAAAAGATTATTGGAATTATATTTAACCAAATTGTCCTTATTATATATATATATATATATATTAACAAATTGGAAAATATTTATATATTTTCTTTAAAAATTTAAATTCATAAAATTTATATAATTTTTTTTACAAAATTGAAAATATAAAAAGGTTTAATGAAAGGGTAAAATTTTATTTTAACCCCTGAACTTCATATAAAATTTTAACTATATATATTTTTTTGTAAATCTAAAATAGTTTAAGGATAAATTTGTAATTTAATCTTCGTAGAATTTTTATTATTCGATGACAGAATAAATATATTTTTGAAAGAAAATTTTTTTAAGGGCATTTTAATCCAAAACGCCGATAATCCAACAATACATAAGGAAAGGGATGTAATGACATTCCCGGTAATATACCCAAAAAATCCACTATTGGAAATGTAAGATTACCGGGAATGACATTCTCGACCAGCCAAACGAGGGAATGTGATTCCATTCCCATTAGAATCTCACATTCCCCCAACAAAACACACCCTGAGGGTTCTTCGCCCATTTTCAAAGCAATACAAACAGGGATCTCTCCCATTTCTTTTCTACAAGAAATACACAATTTTTTCTTCCATTTCTTTTACGGAAAGTAATACAAAAAAATTATTATTAATTAGCAATAGAACCAGATTTTTCCAAAGGTATTCATGATTCTCGTTTTTTTAGTTTCCAACAGTGTTTTGTGTGTGAGTATTACATTTGAAACATAAAAATAAAAGGGGTTGAGGTCTTTACCTGGTCCGTTCGTTGTTATCGCCGAAGTAGGGAGGCCGACGAGAATTATTGTCGTTGAACGGTGCCCGGCAGCGTCGGCTCTTGAAGCCTCGGGTAGCATGCAGTCGAGAAAGAGAAAGGATAGATGAAGCGTCATTGGTTTTTAAGAAGAAAAAAAACCAAAAAGGAGAACGAGGAATATGCGTGAATGGCTAGGGTTATTGTTGTTTTCAAATGTTTTTGGTCTAATTAGAACGTAGGTCACTATAGATCCACGTTTTTCATCACTGGTTCCCTGTTCTACTTTCTTTCATTTTGATCATCTCGTGTTGTGTGATTTAATTTCATCTTGAATGTATGTCCTATTTGTGCTATTTTGCCTTTTTGTACTTCTGTGATTTGATATGGTTTGTTCGAAGGTAAAATTATGTTATGGTCCCTGCACTTTCAGCGTGTTTTTTCATATTAGTTACTAGTTTTCCTTTTTTAGGTCTCGAAATTGATGTCATTATTGCGTAGTTTCCATTTCTATGTTTTGTGTTAAATTTTGGTTTATTCTCTTTCATGACCCCTACTTTTGTCGTGTTTTCATAGTTTGGTCACTAGATTGTGTCGTTTCTAGATTAATTTGAACGTGCAACCCCAGTTGTGCTATTTACCATTTTCTTATTCCTGAATGTGTTATGTTGAAAATAAAAGAGAAAATGTTGCTTTTAGTACCTTACGTCTAGCGCGTTTCGCATATTGGGTCATTTAATTATTTCGAATGATATATGTTAGTTTTGTTTTAATTCATTTAGGTCACTTTTTGTGTTTATTTTACTTGTTTTTATTTTTTTAAATTTTAAGTCTGATTTGGTGCACTAATTGTGTAAATATTTTGTAACAACCCGAAAAAAAATTTAAATTGGTGAAATTTGGTGACTAAATTAAAAGTTTTCAAAACTTATAAGTCATTTTAGAAGTTGAAAAAAAATTCAAAGACCAAGCCTTGCATTATATCTTTGAGTGTCGACATGCTTTTCTTTTAAAGGAAATGAATTGGTTTCTGCGTGAAAACACAAAAAATCAATTCATAAAATTCCCTTTCCAGCAACCTTCTTTAAAGTCTGATTCTGACGCCGTCCGAGCTCCAATCGTAAAATTAAAACCACCGTCATGTTCATCTTCGACCCGTGAACAAAACCCAGTAAACCAATTATAGCGAAACGCTGCCAAACGACATGAATTTCGAGTCAAAGTCTCGACGTTTTTTTAGCACCACCGCCGAGAAAATCTTAAATTCATCTCCGATCGTTGATCGGTTTTCGACACCTCCCGCACCATCGTGTTCCTTGTGTCGTTCCGAGTCTGACGGTGTCCTCCTTGTCTTCGTAGGCGGCGGCGCGTGAAGGAGGTGGAGCGGTCAAAGTTCCGATCGAAATGAAATCGAGCTCTCCACCGTTCAAAAATTTGAACCGATGTTGGTAAGTGACTCAAAATCGCTTAAAAAAATTTTTGAAAATTTTTGCAGGAATTTTTGGAGGCCGGAGGCGGTCTCACGCGCCCCCACTCGTCGCCCCTGCGCATGGGGAAGATTCGAACTGGGGTGTTAATTGGTTGACCGGTCCCGTTGACCGACCCGACCTGGTGACAATTTGGG